TTTCTGATGTTCAGAAATGCTATTAATCTTATGGGTGATGGTTTTACCCGCACAGGGAGGGGCTAGGCCCTTGTTTCTGTAGGTGATGATAATCAACTTCCAGACTGATAGGAGAGGCTTTCTCCTTAACTCTTTGTGACCAGGTTCCTTTTGCACGATATTTGGCAATGAATAAACTGACCAACATTAAACGCTACCACATAGCAAAAGTTTATCGGAGAGATAACCCAGCTATGACCCGTGGCCGATATCGGGAATTCTACCAGTGTGTGAGTATGTGTGTAATTTGGCTCTCAAACCAGTAGAATCTACTGAGTACTCAAGGTGTCCTGAGCAAACTGGATGTCCCAGGTAATACTAACCCTTAGGTTTCTTTGGTATTCTCATAGAGATTTCACAAAGGCCCTGTGGGGAAAGAACAGAGATTATTCTCCCCATTTTATATATAAGTAAACTTGATTCTCAGCAGGATGAAGAGATCCTAGGGATAAGAAAGGCAAAGTCAGCACTAGAACTCTTGGTCCAGTGCTCTTATTAAACCACAGTGATAGGATCACAGCAAAGGATGAGGACATTGGATTTGAGGTATCATATCATCCAGACTGGTGGGCAGAGCTTCTGAATAAATAGAGAAAATGACTAAGGACTAAGGCTGTATGGTTGACCCTGCAGTGGTAGGAGGAAATAAGGAAAGGTAGATGAGTGAAATGATGAAAGACTAGCACAACAGATGGCAAAGAAACAAGGACTAGTAAGAGTCCCAAGAATGCTGGGGTTTTCCTCTGGTCTGATGATCAGAGAATGAAGAAGGTGGTCTATGCATGAGTGCAAACGCCTTCAGAGAGAAAGCAGAGCTTCCAGGAATCCCCTCTTTAAAAACTTAAATACCCAAGGACCTCTAACTGCCTCTCTCCCTGCAGGATTTTGACATTGCTGGGCAATTTGACCCCATGATCCCTGATGCAGAGTGCCTGAAGATCATATGTGAGATCCTGCATTCACTTCAAATAGGTGACTTCCTGGTCAAGGTCAGAGCTGAATGAAGCTGGGAGGGCAAAGTTGGGCCTGGCCTGTCACAGGAGAACATCTTTGTGCAGACAAACCAGTAGCCTAAGTGACCAAGGCTATTGAGGGTCATGTAAAGAGATTCTCTCCTCACTTTGCCTTGGGTCCCTGCAGGTGAATGATCGGCGCATCCTAGATGGGATGTTTGCAGTCTGTGGGGTTCCTGATAGCAAGTTCCGTACCATCTGCTCATCAGTGGACAAGCTGGACAAGGTAATGACCCAAACACCCGACTCTTTTATTCCCAGATCCCACCCTGCCTTGAGAAATGGAAAACAAGATTAAGAGAGAGGGGGGCCTGCGTCTATGCCCACCAGGGGAATATTAGCCTCAGGATGTAGGTTGAAAGGCAGCTTCTGCTCCAGACTACCCCCTGAGGAAGGCGTATAGTTGTTCTGTGGTGGAGAAGGTATCCAATGGTCCCTGACTAGTATCTGTCTGCCCAGGTGTCCTGGGAGGAAGTAAAGAATGAGATGGTGGGAGAGAAGGGCCTCGCACCCGAGGTGGCTGACCACATTGGGGACTACGTCCAGCAGCATGGTGAGGAACGAACCCTGCCTCCCAGCAGCCATCCCACTGCCCTAAAGCCTAAAGCTGAAATTCTTCTCTCTGTGTATATATATATACACGTGTGTGTGTGTGTGTGTGTGTGTGTGTGTAGGAGACAGGGAGAGAGATAGAGTGGGGTAAGAACATGCACACATACAAGTGCAGTCCAGGAAAAAGAGTTCCTACCTTTTCTTCCAGGCAGTCAGTCTGGCTCACAAATCTGTCTCCCCAGGTGGGGTATCCCTAGTGGAACAGCTGCTCCAGGATCCTAAACTGTCTGCAAACAAGCAGGCCTTGGAGGGCCTGGGAGACCTAAAGCTACTGTTTGAGTACTTGACCCTGTTTGGCATTGCTGACAAGGTGAGTCAGATTGGGGATGGGAGCCCTAGGTGAGCTCTAGGGCTTCAGGTCCTTGATCCTTATCTGGTACTGTGTTCTTGTCCCCACAGATCTCCTTCGACCTGAGCCTTGCTCGAGGGCTGGACTACTATACTGGAGTGATCTATGAGGCAGTGCTGCTACAGACCCCAGCTCAGGCAGGGGAAGAGCCCCTGGGTGTGGGCAGTGTGGCCGCCGGAGGGCGCTATGATGGGCTAGTGGGCATGTTTGACCCCAAAGGGCGCAAGGTGCCATGCGTGGGGCTCAGCATTGGAGTGGAGCGGATCTTCTCCATCGTGGAGCAAAGGCTGGAGGTGAGCAGAAGACAGTCTAGGCAAGTGGTGGCACCTAAACTATCTTCCTTAATCCTCAAGGGGACAAGTGGGGCTGCTTTGGGCAAGGAGCATCTTTGCAAAGAAATGGAGAAAAGATGAGCACTGCTTCACAGACTCCCACCCCATTATAGGCCAGCTTTGTGGATCTTTGATCATTCTTTTTTCACAAAAAAGCTCTGGGTCCCTACTTCCCTCAGAGCCGTCAGGAATCTAGGCTGGTGTATCCAGCAGTCCAGATCTTCCTCACAATACAGAAAATATTTTACTATTCTATGCCAGGCACTGTGCTTAGTGCTTTTCATGTATTATCTAATAAATTCTTTTGGCAGCCCTCTGAGAGTAGCTACTTTTACTATTTACATTTTCAGATGAGAGAACTGAAGATTATGGATCAAATATTTTACCCAAAGTCATCAATCTTTTAAGTGGCAGAGTCAATTTGTTTTTTTTATTTTTTTATTTTTTTTTATCCTCACCCGAGGACATTTTTCCATTTTTTACTCAGAGCGGGAAGGAGAGAGAGGAAGAGAGAGAAACATCGATGTGAAAGGGACACATCGAGTGGCCGCCACCCACACGACCCAACCAGGGCCGGGGACAAACTGCAGCCAAGGTACATGCCCTTAGCGGGAACCGAACCCGGGTCTCTGTGGACCGCAGGCTGACGCTCTAACCGCTGAGCCAAACCGGCCAGGGCAAGGCAGAGTCAATTTGAATCCAGACAGTCAGTCTAACTGCAAACCTAGCCATGCTTTGATTGTCTCTGAGTGGGAAGCATGTGTCTGAGGCACTGAGATCCTTCAGATGGCTGTTCTGACTCTACAGCATCTAGAGTAACACTAGGGAAACCCCTCACTGGCCTCAAGTGCTCCTTTGTTGTGGATGCTCTTAACTGGCTGGTTGCATTTCATCCCCTGGAGAATGCCCTGGTAGTAAGCTTCTCACTGCTCCATCTTTTTCTCTGGGGTGGAAAACACCCATGTTTCCCAGTTGAGGTCACTGTTCCATTAGGCATCTTATGTTGTAAAAACTATGAAAATAGTTTTCCAGAAAAAGACAAGGGGCACCAGCAGCATCCTCCCATCCCCCCATGCACACACACCCAGGGTTGTACCCTGTGGGCTGTATCCTCTTGACTGGGAAAATAATAAGTGGGAACTAGAACTGCCCAGCATAAGCTATCTTTGCCCTTGCCCTAGGTAACTTATTTTGGCACACCATATGTACAAGCCTGTCAGTTTATTTCTTGTATCATTTAAGAGCTACCTTATGCCGCGTTGCTAGATGAGAAGACTGGGCCCCTGCCCCGAGTTGGGCCTGGTCTCAGAATCCTGACAAGGGCCTGCTCTCTTTGCTCCTTGAAAGTGTTATAAAGGGTAGCCCAGCTCTCTCTTGTCTGCACCTTTCCAGGCTTTGGAGGAGAAGGTACGGACCACAGAGACACAGGTGCTTGTGGCATCCGCACAGAAAAAGCTGCTGGAGGAGAGACTGAAGCTTGTCTCAGAGCTGTGGGATGCCGGGATCAAGGTACATGAGGCAAGCCCCTGGATGGCAGCAAACAGGAGTACTGGGCACAGACTAAAAAAAACTCACCCATAGTGACTCTGCTATTCTGTGATTTCTTGGGGTGGAACTAAGAGCAAGGTGACAGCTTGGGCCCCCAGGAAGTTGTCCCTGAGTATGGCAGAAGTCAGCCTTCATCTTCTGCTTGGGTCCCCTGTAGGCCGAGCTGCTTTACAAGAAAAACCCAAAGTTACTGAACCAGCTGCAGTACTGTGAGGAGACAGGCATCCCACTGGTGGCCATCATCGGTGAGCAGGAGCTCAAGGATGGGGTCATCAAGCTCCGTTCAGTGGCCAGGAGAGAAGAGGTAAGTAGGTGGGCAGGAAGGCTGAAGGATGGAATGTATGCCATATCAGCAGGCCAGTACCTATTCAAGACCCGAGCAAAAACCAGGCATTCTTATTAGTATCCACTTGTAAAGGACTGAAGGGCTTTTAATCTGTTATTAGGGTCCTGGTAGGGTAAGATCCCCATCCCCACAAACACCCTGTGTCTCTGGCTCCCCCAAGAAGCACTGCCCACCCTAATGTTCATTTGGGTTCCTGCTCTCACCTGAGCCAAGCCTGGTGACCAGAGGAAGGGCACTCAGGGAGCTGTGGAGTGGAAGATGCTCATACCACTTTCTTTCCCCATCCTGCCCAGGTGGATGTCCGAAGAGAAGACCTTGTAAAGGAAATCAAAAGGAGAACAAGCCAACCCCTTTGCATCTGCTGAATTGAGCTATCACAGGAAAGTGAAAGGGCACTGTTTAAGGCTAAGACAAAATTCTGCAAATATACTTCAACAGCTTTGCACACTTCAAGCGGGAAACCTGAAGAGTAGTCAAAACAGAGGCTTTTTTATTTTTATTATCATTATTTTATTGGTAATCACGAGCAGAAATAGCCAAGTACTGCACCATTTTACATAAAAGGCCCTAGGGGCTCAGTCCAGTGTGGCTCCTGGGCTACAGCGGGCTCTTCTGCAAGGCGCTAACAGTCGCCAAAGGTGTAATAAAATATCTCAACTACTAGAGCCCATCTTTGTCGTTATTTTCTAGCCCAGCATTCCTTGTCAGAGCCTGACGGCTTTAGCGGTGGAAAATAGGGAGACTTACAGCGGGTTCTTGCTCCGGGGTGAAGAGTGAGCCCTGCGTCCTTTTTGCGACCAGCGTCCCTCCGTGCGGGTATGCCGGACATGTCTTACGAGCTGAGGCTGCCAGCAACACCAGCTATGGTTTCTAGCTTTCACCTGAGGGTCGCGGTGCACGTGCAGCGGATACGCCCACCCCCCTTGGAAGGCGGGGTCGTGCTCAGAGCCAATGAGAGGTTGGGGGGTGGAGGGCTAGGGAAGCTTCCAGAGGCCGACAGGGAGGAGGTTATAAAAGGGAGCGCCGACTGACCAACACAAGAATCATGCAGTCCAAGCGGGAGTGTGAGGTAAGTGGCCGCTAGGGGTGAAGGAGCCCCACCTGCGCAGGGAGTGGGGGCGCCTGGGGCCCCAGCACCACAGGAGAGGTGGGGGCGGGCGCAGAGGTCCGCCATTCCAACCTCCCTTTCCCCCTCAGCTATGGTGTGAGAGGGTGAATCCAGAGAACAAGGCGGCGCTGGAGGCGTGGGTCAGGGAGACGGGCATTCGCCTGGTTCAAGTGAACGGGCAGAGGAAGTATGGCGGGCCACCCCCAGGTACTCTAGTCCCAGCCCTGCTGGGGGGCTCCGCCAGCCTCGACGGCCCCAACCAGCCCCTTGGGGGAGGCGCCTACTCCGAGTCTCCATAATCAGAAACCCCCAACTACGCGTTGTCCCCTGCCCCAGCAAGTGTGGAAACGTCTAGGACTTCCCACCCACCCGCCCCCTCGAGGAAGGCAGCCTGTCTTAAGGTGCACCTACTCTATGCCTGCCTCGCTTCACTTCAGTCACCCAGTTATGCCAACGACTGGGAGTACGGGTGTTGGCCACTTCACAGACGTGTACTCACATGGTCCCTCCCGCGCCGGGTCCCTGGGCGCCAAACCCGGAACATCCCGGTGGATGACGGTGCCCCCCCTTCCCCCAGGCTGGGTGGGCAGCCCGCCGCCGCCCGGGTCGGAGGTGTTTATCGGTAGGCTGCCCCAGGACGTGTACGAGCACCAGCTGATCCCACTGTTCCAGCGCGTGGGACGTCTCTATGAGTTCCGCCTGATGATGACTTTCAGCGGCCTGAACCGCGGCTTCGCCTACGCCCGCTACAGCTCAAGGCGCGGGGCCCAGGCCGCCATCGCCACGCTGCACAACCACCCTCTGCGGCCCTCCTGCCCGCTGCTCGTGTGTCTCAGCACTGAGAAGTGCGAGCTGAGTGTGGACGGGCTGCCACCGGCTCTGACCCGCCGCGCACTGCTGCTCGCGCTGCAGCCCCTGGGTCCAGGCCTTCAGGAGGCGCTGCTGCTGCCCAGCCCTGGGCTGGCGCTCACGCAGATCGCACTGCTCAAGTTCAGCTCGCACCGTGCCGCGGCCATGGCCAAAAAGGCCCTGATGGAAGGTAGGGGTGGAGGCTACTGGGGGCCGCTGGTTGGGGCAACCGTGTCCTGGCAGGGACTTTACCTCTACACATCAGCACCGCCTGTGAACTCAAAAAATCTTAGGGTCAAGAATGCCTGAATTTGCAACTTTACACAATTTATTTGAACTCACATTTAAAATTTTCTGATGTTACTACCATTTAACTTCATGCTTCCCAATTATCTCCTGACTTAATCCTCAACATTCCAATGAAAAAAACACAATGATCTTCCTCTTTAGAGATGGAGAAGTGAACTTGCCCAAGGCAATCCAACTAAGACTGCTGTCTGTTGTGAAAATAAAGCCAGTACTTAGCACATTCCTTGATTCTTGGCAAGTATTCACAGTAAAAGTTAGCTATTTTATGGTTATGCAGAGATAAAGCCAGCATCAACCAGTACTTCTCCAAGAAAATTTAGAAGGTAGCTGATATTACACCCCCTTCACAAATACAATGAAGCCTTAAGTTATTTTGCCTGAGGTCACACAACCTGAAAATGGGGAGGCTAGAAACTAAAACAGCCTGTGTGACTCCTGAGGACTTACAGGGACTTGGGGCTTGGGCCCAGGGCTAAAATATGTCCTTTCTGCCTTTTTCCTGCAGGGCAGTCACACCTCTGTGGGGAGCAGGTGGTTGTGGAGTGGCTCAAGCCAGACATGAAGCAGCGACTCCGCCAGCAGCTTGTGGGTCCCTCACCGACGTGCTCACAGCCAGAGGGCAGCCGATTGGCCCTGGCTAGGGACAAGCTAGAGTCCCAAGGGGCTCGAGCTGCCCTGAAGCTGTTGTGCCAACGGATGAAGCTAGGTAGCCCAGTGTTTCTCACCAAGTGCTTAGGCACAGGCCCTGCTGGCTGGCACCACTTCTGGTACCAGGTGGTGATCCCTGGGCATCCAGTACCCTTCAGTGGCCTCATCTGGGTTGTGCTGGCCTCGGAAGGGCAGGATGGGCATGAGGTGGCCAAGGATGCTGTGTCTGCACGGCTGCTGGAGGCACTGAGTGAGTCTGGGGCCAGCCTCTTATGGTCAGCTGGGGCACTAAGTGAGTCTGGGGCCAGTCTCCTGTGGTCTGCTGGAGCTGAGGCAGGTACCATGGTTAAGCAGTAACCCCATCCTTTCCACAGGCAGCCTGAATGAGTAGGCAGGGCCTTTGTCAGTACCCAACCCAGCAGGCCTGGGCAGCCACCATCTGATCCTAAAAAAGGGAGGAGCATGGGTCCTGCCCTAGGCCTGACACAGCTTCTCAGCTGGGGTACAGCCCCAGTGCACTTGGGGGCAGCTCAGGTTTGGCTAAGTTGTGCGGGAACCTTGCCCTCCCTCTCCCAGCCAAGTATTCCTTGGCTTTTCTTTGTGTGACACACAGTCTCCTCCCACGGCTTAACATGAATCTTCGCTTATTTTCTTGATTTGTCTTTGTTGGTTTTTATTTGGGGGATAGCTGAGCCAAAGGGTCAGAAATCTGCTTTTTGTCCCCACCGCTTGGCATTTTGGTTTTGGTGTATGTGTACTGTTGGTTTGTTTTTCTACTCTGGTTGTATTTATATTAAAACGCCTGGTTAGTGTAAACCTGTGTCCGTGTGCTGTCTTGCTCCAGCTGTGGGCTTGCCTTACACTGGTAGAGTGAGCAGTTCTACTTCCCCCCAGTCTTGAGCCTCTGGGGCTCCAACACAGGAAGCAAGACTCTTGCCCAGTGAGGTCCTATCGAGATTCAGCTCATCACCTCAGTCACTGTCATCCTCGCTCTCCTCCTCCTCCCCCTCTTCCTCTTCCTTAAGTCCGGAGAAGAAGTCATCAGTGCTCCAAGCCTTGCTACTCAGCGCCCGAAGTGGCCCTCCCTTTTTTTTGCGCCGACGGTAGTCATCCACCACCAGAGCCCGCAACTGGGCCATGTCCCAAAACTTGAGGCACTGGTCATGGCCACTGCTGGCCAGGAAGCGGCCACAGTGGGAGAGGGCCAGCTCCTCTACAGGTTCCCCAGCATGCTGGCCCACACTGCCCACAACTCGGTTCGGCAGGATATTCACAGCCCTGGGCAGAGAGAAAAGAGTTAGATATTGGCTAGTTGGGCCTACCCTTCTGCGTCCCTAAGGGCCCAGCTTCTCTCACCTGATGACTCCATCGGTGGACCCAGCACACAGCAAACTGTCAGTGATTGGAACCATGCAGTCAATGGACTCGGCTCTCAGGGCAAAGCGGTCACTTGTGGCCCCAAAGCCATTCCAATTGAAGAGATAGATGGTACCTTCACTGGAGCCACAGGCCACCTTCCTCCCACACTACAAGGAAATAGGACAAACCACATCTGTGGAGCTATGTCAGACCAAGTTCTTATGGTACCTTCACTGGAGCCACAGGCCACCTTCCTCCCACACTACAAGGAAATAGGACAAACCACATTTGTGGAGCTATGTCAGACCAAGTTCTTAGCACAAACCCCAACCCACCATACCCAGCTGTACCTTCATGATTGTGACAGAGGTCAGGTCTCCAGACTGAGGTTCTGAGAGGAGCTCAAACCGGCGTCGCTTAATATTGAAGACACCAAGGCAGCCATCCCCACTACAGAGAAGAGAGCAGCAGGTTTGGCCAGAGGCTCCCATTGAGGGAGAAATTTAACACAGGGAAGGGACGGGTGGCGGATTTGAGGCTGTACCTGGCTGTCAGCAGTAGTTTCTTGGCTGGGTCCAGAGCCATGTCAGCAATATACTCCTCATGCTGCCGCATATCCATTAAGGGGCCCTCTTTCCGCTGGTCCCAAAGCCGGATGCCACCTGTGTCATCCCCAGTGGCCAGAACATTCTTATCCACCAGTAGCAGACTGTTGATAGGGGCACTACAGACACAGATGCAATAGTTCTTGGAGCATCTTCATTCCAGTAGGGAGTTACGAGTCCTTCCCCATACCTCAACACACAAGTGACTCCCCTTACCCATGAGCCTTGGAAATGCGTCTTTCCAGTCGGCCCTGCTCCACATCTAGAACATGGATGGCTTTGTCCTTGGACACAGTAACAAGTTCTGGGGGAAAGGTATCCAGGTCATGGTGCTGCTCACTGCTCCCTTCCCACCACCACACTGCTGGCTGCCATCCCTAATACTCACTCTGCCCATCTTCAGAAAAGACCACAGCACGGCAGGACTTGAGATGGTGACCTGAGGACCAAAGCTCCTTGGTTTCTCCCTCTTGACAGGAGTAGGAAAAGCTGGGGAGAGGTCGAGGAGAGTGAATCACCCCTGACCCTGCCTGGGATACATGGCATGTACCAACTAGCCAACCTTCCACCTACCTAGGAGTTCCTGCTAGTACACCTCTAAGCCCAAGGAGCTTACCATCCCATTTTTCTATTTTCAATGAGCTTCAAACATTAGGTCTTTTTCTCATTTAATATACATGAATTCAAAGTATATTTGCTTGGAACTTCTTTATGACATCACCCCACCCCTCTTCATCATCCTTGCAAAGCCCTAGCCTGGGGAAGATTAGGTCTGGACCACTGTGAAGGCCCAGAAATATTTGTTAAACTGATGACAGAAGGACAGTCCCAGAAGTTGGAAACATCAAGATTAGTAAGACAGGTCCAGCCTGTGTGGCTCAGTGGTTGAGTGTTGACCCATGCACCAGTTCGATTCTCAGTCAGGGCACAGGCCCAGGTTGTGGGCCAAATCCCCAGTGCAGGGCATGCAGTAAGCAGCCAATCGATGTTCTCTCTCATCGATGTTTCTGTTTCTCTCTTTCTCTCTCTCTAAAATTAAAAAAAAAAAAAAATTTATCCTCATCTGAGAACATTTTTGCATTTATCTCCAGATAGAGTGGGAGGGAGAGAGAGAAAAACATCCATATGAGAAACATCGACTGGTTGCCACCCACACTACCCCAACTGGGGCCAGAGACAAACTGCAACCGAGGTATGTGCCCCTAGCGGGAACTGAACCCAGGACTCTCCGGTCCGTGGGCTGACACTCTAACCGCTGAGCCAAACTGGCCAGAGTGGAAAAAAAATTTTTTTTAAAAAAGATGAGTAAGACAGGGCTCTTGCATTCCATCCAATTCTGCAGGAGCTAGAGAGAACTGTAATTATAGCACACTGTTACCACATACTGAAAAAGAGCCAGAATCAAAATGGTGGAACAGAGAGGCACCAGCCTGTAAACTCAGCAAGGCAAGCACCTGTCCAGAAAGTATCCCCAGTGCCTGCCTCAGAGCAGATCCTCAAAAGGGCAGAATGAGTAAGTGCTTAATTGCCAGTGAGTTCCAGGTGGGCAGAACTTAGTGTTTGCTGTATTCTAGGGCCTACCATAAAAAAGCTGCTTAATGCCCTGACCGGTTTGGCTCAGCGGTTGGAGCACTGGCCTGCGGTCTGGAGAGACCCAGGTTCGGTTCCCACTAGGGGCACGTACCTCGGTTGCAGTTTGTCCCCGGCCCGGCCCTGGTTGGGTCGTGGGTCGTGCGGGTGGCAACTACTCGATGTGTCCCTTTCACGTCGATGTTTCTCTCTCTCTCCCTCCTACTCTAGCTGAACAAAATTTCAAAAAATGTCCTCGGGTGAGGATAAAAAGAAAAAAGAAAAAAAAAAAAAAGCTGCTTAATAAACATTCACATTTTTTAATGGATGAGACAAACATTCAAATAAGTATACAAACCAGTGTATGACCACAAACCATTATGAAGTTTATGAGGGAAAATCATCTGGTGACAAAGCAGTATCTAACAGGTAATCTTAATTTAGTCTGGGGCATGGAGGAAAAGTGAAGAGGTGCTGAGAACTTGGAGATAGGAGGTACAAATTCAAGGAAAGGAGTTTCAGGCAGAAAGAATAACGTGTAAAGGAGCTGAGGCTTCAAGATATAAAGGTAAGATGAACAAGCACAGAAAGCAAAGGGGAAAGCAAGCAAGGGCCAGAAGATCAAGCAGTTTAGACTTAATCCTAAAAGCAAAGGTAAACTATGTAAGGGTTTTAATCAAGGAAGTGAAGTGGTCGGATTTGTATTTTCGAAATATCAAAGACAGAAACACAAGCAGGGGGCCCTGTTGAGCTTGTTTCTGGCTTAGTATAATAAACCGGTGGGAAAAGGTGCCCTGAAAGCCTTCTTGTCCTGCTACTTACTGTCCCTGGGCTCCGTCACATTACAGCCACTTCGTCATCCTTTCAGTTCTTTCAAGAGATTTGTGTGGTAACTTGTTTAAAGCCGAATATTAATGAACGGATCAGATCAGATGAGTCTTGCAAATTTTCTCTCCCAGCACTCTCCTCTCTCCGCCCAGCTCCTTTACCGGGTAGTTTCCAGACCCCGCAGCTCCCGCACACACCAAGTTCACACGTCCCCGGCCCTGCAGCGCACTTACACAAACACGTCCCCGTCCACGTCCCCCGCCGCCAGCAGGTCCCGGGCCGGGTGGAACGCCAGACCACTAGCCGGCGCTTCCAATACGATGTCTTCAGGGGTGTCCCGAATCCGGGCCGGGACTTCCGTGGAGTCGGAGTCCTCGTCGCTCCCGTCCTCTGCGGACCTGTCCTTACACGTGTCATCCATGCATCAGGTATTCCGAGCCGCACAACAGTTGAGCAGAGAGCCCAAGAACCAGTCACCCGGGAGGAGTAAGTGGCCCAGTGCACTGCTTCCGCTTTGGGAGGGGAGGGCGGGGGCGGGGCGGAAGTGGCACCAGTCTCGGTAAGCAAGTAAAGGCGGGCCGCCGCAGCTGGTGTGGGTAGAGCGGACCCTAGTGGCCAGGCACCCAAGGTCCAGTTACGTTCCTGTGTTGATACCGCTGATACCTACAACCTAGCTGGACGGCACGACGACAGGCCCGTCAATCACGTTTGTCCTTTCCCCTCATCCTAACCGATGCTGACAATTTAATACAACCTTCCTGTCAACCTAAGAAACATCCAAACTTAGAGAATATTTTATGAGTTTATTTGAGCCAAACAGGTCATAGGCGGGGAAGCAACATCTCAACTGCTCTGTAGAATAACACTTTTGCAGCTTCTTTTATGCATTTGAAATTACGGAGGGAATGTAAGGGAGATTACATAAAGGTGGAAGAGAGCAAGGTGGGAACTGGATTATAGAATAGTTACCAAGATTATATATTCTCTTGAGGGTGGTTATTAAAGGTATGTTAGATGCACATGGACAGGGGCTTCCTTAAAGCAAAGATAAACCTTTTACTAAAAAGTTATATGCCCAGGGTGTCATGATAGGTGACTACCCATAATGATCTGCCCATTTTGGAATTTATGATCACATGACCCTGTGCGGTTACTTTAAATAGAACCCTACTTTTTATTCAAAAAAATTTTTTTTCTTTTATTGATTTCAGAGAGAAAGGAAGGGAGAGGGAGAGAGAGATAAAAACATAGATGAGAGCCCTGGCCAGTTTGGCTCAGCGGTTAGAGCGTCGGCCTGCGGTCCGGAAAGACCCGGGTTCGGTTCCCGCTAAGGGCACGTACTTCGGTTGCAGTTTGTCCCCGGCCCTGGTTGGTCGTGCAGGTGGCAGCCACTCGATGTGTCCCTTCACGTCGATGTTTCTCTCTCTCTCTCTCCCTTCCTCTCTCTCCCTCCCGCTCTGTCTGTACAAAAAATGGAAAAATATCCTCGGGTGAGGATAAAAAAAAAAAAAAAAAAACCATAGATGAGAGAGAACACTGATTGGCCACCTCCTGCATACCCCCCACTGCGGGGATCGGGCCCACAACCTGGGCATGTGCCCTGACCAGAAATCGAACCTGCGACCTCTTGGTGCATGGGTCAACACTCAACAGCTGAGCCACACCGGCCAGGCTAGAACTCTATTTTTCAGTCCACATCCCACAGCCAGTAATGACTTAATGCCCTCGTGATTGGAGAGAGGGGCGTCAGTAATTCATATGGCTTGGTGAAATCCAAGACTGTAACAAACATCAGCCAGGTTGGTCAGAAAGCAGCATAAGCCCAAGCCACAAGAATTCCATATGGTGGGTCTTGGAGGGTAGAGAGCCCCCATGCATATATTTAAGTTGCTGCCCTCCGTGCACAACATCTTCATGGCTGAAGAAACAGCATTTTGCCCATTCCCACAGTTAGGCTGCAGACCCTCAGTGGGCCAGGCCAGCAGTGCTCAGAGCTGGCAAGGAATTGCTGAAAAGGAAAATGGGCACAGCAGTTGTTTTGGACATTCCAATTAACAAAAGTTCCACAGTCAGAGCACCTTGTTGGGCAGGTGAGATGGAGCTCCTGTGACTGAAGAGAACCTTCTCACATCACTGTGGTATTAAGTCTTCTAAGACATCTTATAAGCTGATTCCCAACCTGCTTAACAGAGGTAAAAAGAGAGGTTCAGGACCTCATGGAGGCTGTGTGCCTTCTGTGTCACTGAAAAAGTTGCTGTGTTGGGAGTCCTTGTCACTATGTTGTCAACCAAAGGGTCTTAGTCACTTCCACAAGGATTGGTGGTACTTGCAGAAACTGATTTTATTTTTTTGTTTTGTTGTTGTTGTTAATCCTCACCAGAGGCTATTTGGGAAATGTTTTCCATTTTTTTAAATTTTTAAATTAATTTTTGTTATAGATGTTTCTCCTTTTTTCCCCATTGACACCCTCTTCCCCATCGCCCTCCCCTGCCCTGTCCCCAGCTTCGTTGTCTATGTCCATTGGTTATACATACATGCATATAAGTTCTGTGTTTTATCCCCCCTCCCCCCCATCTACTCTTCTGAGGTTTATCAGTCTGTACCCTACTTCTATATCTCTGGGTCTATTTTGTTCATCAGTTTGTTTAGTTCATTATAGTACACAAATAAATGAGATCATGTAATATTTGTCTTTCTCTGTTTGGCTTGTTTCGCTTAGCATAATACTCTCCAGGTCCCTCCATGTAGTTTCAAAGGATAAGAGCTCTTTCTTTCTTACCGCTGCAGAGTATTTCATTCTGTATATGTACCACTGCTTTTTTATCTACTCATCTACTGATGGACACTTGGGTTGTTTCCAGATCTTAGCTATTGTAAATAATACTGCTATGTACATATTTCAGGCTTCTTAGGGTATATTCCTAGAAGTAGGATCACTGGGTCAAATGACAGTTCAATTTTTAATTTTTTGAGGTAACACCATAGTGTTTTCCATAGTGGCTGCACCAGTCTGCATTCCCACCAGCAGTGTACTAGAGTCCCCTTTTCTCCACACCCTCACCAGCACTTGTTGTTTAATGATTTATTCATGGCAGCCATCCTGGCAGGTGTGAGGTGATACCTCATTGTTGTTATAATTTGCATCTGATGATTAGTAAGGTTGAACATTTTTTCATATGTCTCTTGGCCTTTTGTATGTTGTTTGGAGAAGTGTCTCTTTAGGTCCTCTGCCCATTTTTTAATTGGGTTCTTTGTCTTCCTTTTGTTGAGTTGTATGAGTACTTTATATATTTTGGAAATTAACCCCTTATCTGATGTTATCATTGGCAATTATGGTCCCCCATATAGTAGGTTCCCTTTCCATTTTGATGGCTGTTTCTTAAGCTGTGCAGAAACTTTTTAGTTTGATGTAGTCCCATTTTTTCCTTTATTTCTCTTGCCGTAGGTGTTGTATCAGTGAAAATTCTGTTGCATATGATGTCTGAAATTTTGTTGCCTACCTTTTCTTCTAGGATTTTTATGGATTCACGTCACATTTAAGTCTTTTATCCATTTTGAGTTTATTCTTGTGTATGGTGTAAGTTGGTGGTCTAGATTCATTTTTTGCATGTAGCTGTCTAATTTTCCTAACACCATTTACTGAAGAGGCTGTCTTGACTACACTGTATCTCTTGCCACCTTTATCAAATATTAATTGAGCATATTGTCTTGGGTCAATTTCTGGGTACTCTGTTCTGTTCCATTAATCTGCCTGTTCTTGTGCCAGTATCAGGTTGTTTTAATTACAGTGACTTTGTAGCATTCCATTTATTTTTAGACAGAGTAAAAGGGAGGGAGGGAGAAACATCAATGGGAGAGACAGTAGATTGGTTGCCTCCCGCACAACTGCCACCAGGGCCAGGGATCAAACCCGCAACCCAGGTACATGCCCTTGACCGGAAATCGAACCTTTGTCCCCTTTGGTCTATGGACTGACACTCTTAACTGCTGAGCCAAACTGGTCAGTGAAAGGGTTAATAATGTTTTAAAGGGTAAAGGTAGAAGTTTGCAAAAGGCAGAAACTGAAAAATGCGTTGCTTGCGTGACCTTCTGTTGAGTATGGATTATTGCATTATCTGCAAGACAATCAATCACCCAGCAGATGCAGGATGATACCAGACCAGTCCAACTGCAAAGTGGACAATGGACCAGGCAGAGTATGTCAGAAGTCACCAGAAGCTAGAAGCAGAGTATATAACCTACACCCAACTGTTTTTTGTGTTTTTTTTTCATCCTCACCCGAGGACATTTTTCCATTTCTTTGTTCAGATAGAGTGGGAGAGAGAGAAAAAACATGATGACACATTGAATGGTTGCCACCCGCACAACCCAACCAGGTCCAGGAACAAACTGCAACTGAGGTACATGCCCTTAGCAGGAACTGAACCCGGGTCTCTCTGGACCACAGGCCGACACTCCAATCACTGAGCCAAACCAGCCAGGGCAACACCCAACTGTTCTTCGAGGCTTACTCCTTTTTTGGGTTCAGCCCACCTGTACCCTGGAGCATGCAATATCATTTTGCTCTACATTGGCCTTGCATTGTGAATGTGATCTCCTGCTGGCTCAGACCTTTTCGTCAGGGTACAGAAACTGATTTTAAACTGGCAGTCAACCTCCAGGTCTTGATTTTAGTGATACTCTAAATATCTTCATTTGAGCCAGATCTCTGTGACCTTTTTCCTAATTGGGACCTCTGCCTACAATCAGTAAACTTGGGTGTCATTTACTGTCTAAAATTAGCCATTCTAGGTGCTACTGTAGACAAGGCTCAAATTCAGCTTCCTAAGTGCCCTTGCCCTATTAAGATTAAAATGATCAAAGGCAATGGCTAAGGTAGCCCTCTAGCTTTCTTTGGATCTGGTGAGCCCCCAGGTTTTAGGCTCAGAATAGGCAGTGGCAGCTAGGAATCCAGCCAGAAAGTGGTGACCTTTATGAGTACCAGACGAAAGTGTTGGCAATGAGCAGAAAGGAGGGAAAAAGCAGGAATGGAGTGATTTGGAGTCCAGGGAGCCCACCCTGGGCCTAGGTAAACTTTTCAGGGTGTTGAAGGGCACATCACAATCTTCAGGCCCAGCACAGGGATTCCCCAAGGTATCCCTTCAGCGAGGGAAGCAGTGATGTGTACTTGGAATTACTAAAGCTCCCAGGAAGGCATAAATGCATGAAAGGTTTTTGTTCCCACAAGAAATTCTCATTAGGTGCCTTCATCTAGCACTCAGTCATGCTCAGCTTTGGAATCAGACTGGCAGCCCACTGGGCTGACCCTAATTCCCAGGGAATCTCTGCTCTAAGAGTAGGTCCCCAAATGGGCCTGAGCGAGTCTTACATTTGAGACCAACCATCCTTACATTTTTCTATCCATCTCTTGCCCATCAGTGAGGGTCATTCCATTCTCTACTGGGCACCCTGGCTAGTGAACATCCTTACTGTCTAGATATCTAGAACCATAGCTCAGGAAAGGACTGA